GAGTCCTACACCCAGTTCTACTCTTATAACTACTGTTAAGTAACACATTCCATGCCTCTAGCCTTTATTTTTCAGTTAGAAATTTTATGCCGTTGACTCATTACGATAATAAATATAAATAAAGTAATTATTTAAGCTATAAACACATTATTAAATATAACGTAAGTACTGCGGAAGTCTCCGTTTGCATGACAGACGCGTAACTGGGTTGGCTTAGTTTTACGCGTAATGTTGTTACGAGATAATTATATATAACGATAACAATTTAAAATTACATCACTCGTAAAACTTTAATAGATAAGTATTATACGTCAATTACACCTGTAAGTGATCAGTTAAATAAGCGAAGATTAACCCTTTCGCTGTCCCGTGCACTATATATAGGTCATTGCTATTGTCTTACTATTGTGTCTGCAAACCGGACAGTGAAACATAGTAAACATAGTAAGAGATGGTCGATATTGACCGACTAAACATATTTTTTATAGAATAAGGGCACACAGTCCACTTGATGGTAAGTGGCTGCTGTGGCCCATAGACATCTACATTTATCGTCAATTAAAAATCAAAATACAGATGCGTTGTTATCCCTGAGGACTGAGATGGAATGCTTCGTTTCCAGCTACAAGGGCCTTCGGTTCTTTACACTCACCATACGAAACGCAGCAGCGTTAGTATTATATATGTGTATAGATATTAGTATTAAAAATATTTCACAAGACAGATCGGTAAATTGTTATCTAATTGTTTTCCTTTTGCTTGTTTTTTAACCGTTTCAGAGATTTTTTCAATTTTTCAAAAACTTATTCACTCATACTCTGTTTACTCTGTATTTGAAATTTATTTGTGAATAACGGTGCAGATTACATAATTACTTATGTTATTTGTACAATTATTATTTAGTTTAAGTCTTATTATGTAATTGTTTGACGTCTTTATTACCTACATAAAAATATGGTGGTGATGGCAAAGTAACAGGGTGAGAAATTATGTGGTTTGCAAGATGATGTTGTGGCCAATATTAAAAAAGGAATGCTTCGGAGGTTTTGGTCATGAAAAAAGAATAAACGAGAAAAAAGTGACAAAGTAAATCTATGTTGCAGAAGTGAACGGCAGAGTTGGGAAGGGACGCACTAGGCGAAAGTTTATCGACCAAATTGGCGATATATTGAAAATGGGCAAGATTAAGTAAAAGTACCTTATAACCGACGAGCATGTATGCGTTGGTATATGGACGTAAATGAGGCAAGAGAAGTGTGTCAGGATCATGCCAAATGGAAGTCCGTAGTCTCTGCCTACCATTCTCGATGACAGCCGTGAGTATTTATGTATGTATGTATTATAAAAACATTATTACCCTACGTACTCGTGGTACACACAATGTATACGCCCCTAGCTGCCCCAACAAAGGTTGACTGGACTAGGGCACATGAGTAATCCCATCGACGGGCAGTAGAGGGACGGGGCCCAACGGCCTGGTGGAAGAATTTCCTATAATACTAAGCTATATGGGAGAAGGCTAGGGAAATATGGTACGTACCTGTTTTCGACTTTTAGATCGCCCCAAGGCTCGGTCAGGCCGTAAGTGGGTGTGAGGTGCATGGCAAGTAGTGTTTAGTGATGTGTAAATGTCTGAGACCTGGACCAGCTTAGGCGACCAGCAGCGGCCGAGTTCCAGGCTGCCCCACAATGCTGCATCGCTCCAGCAGGCTCCACCGCTGGACCATTTCTTTCTTCATTGTCACTATTTCAGTCTATTAGCTTCATTGTACATTTAACTAACTTAAACTCGCCTAATTTCACATTCATCGTAGAATCGAACACGTGATACCCGACACAGTAAGGACAGTAGTTCAAAATTCGACATTCAATGTCCCGGACTCACTTATCACAAAATTATAAATAGGGAACTAACGCGAGTCATACGGTTCAGCGTTAAACACAACTAAGTTCCTTCATTCGATACCAAAAAACCACGTCGCGAAAAGAATTCAAAATACTTCTCGTTGACACGTAAACTAACAAACCAACCAACACACAAAAAAGGGCACTTAACGCGACGGCACAATTATGATTTCCAAACAATCAACCGGGAGACACTCTCGACTAAGGAATGCGCGGTTCGAATCCTAGAACGTATATCTACTCGACGCGCGCGTGCACAATTCCGCATCACCCGAACAAGTTAAATATTGCAAAATTCACATATCCGCGTAGCGAAGTAACACGTCTAAATCTAACTATCTGGACCCTACAGGGTCGCGTGACCTTCGGCCGCGATAATGGAGACGTTGTATATATATAACACATCACTAGTGTAACATTAATAGAATATATTACACATTTTCATTTTACTGTTTTGGATTTTAAATACCTACAGAGAGAGGGAAAGAAATATGTTCTCCTTACGTTACCCTAATATGAAATGACAGCAATAAACAATACAAAGTGAGAAACGTGGGTTTAGGCCCGCACGAAGTGACAAAACTTCAGAGCTTATCGAATAAGGATCTGTTATTCCTAGTTTGTCTAACCGCATTCATACGAATTGTTGTTTTATCTCGAGTAGTTAAGGATCAAAATTATTTAACTATTAAGCTATTCAGATATCACTTACATAAATATTTGGTCTTATGGACGGATTTCACACTAGGCAAGGTGCTAATCCCCCATGTGATAGGACGAAGCTTGTGTATATTGGTGATTGTAAGGCAGTAACGTTTGCGCCACAAACAAAAATAAATTTTTACGTTTATTTATTTTTTACCTTTGGTTGTTTAGAAGAGATCGCTAGATAATGCCGCTAAATTATATAATTTACTTGATTTTTCAATATATATGTGTATTTTTTTTTATTTGTGGTGTAATTCAACATCATGAAACTGTATCTAAAAGTATTTTAAATCCAAGATTAGCATTTAATATTTGCGTCTCAACTTGTCAACAACACGTTATCAAATTGGATGGGATGGGATTTTGGATTTGCGATTATTTTCACTATGGGCTATCAATTCTTTCACGATTTTCCATCTAATCCTGTTTTTGCTTAACGTGGTCCGAGTAGCTCTTTGCGTTTTGGGCTCTGCCTACCTCGTCGGGATTACATGCGTGACGCTATGGAAATATGCGATGCTTATTTGTCTTAATGCCTTATTTACATTACAGAACCTATCTTCAAAGTTATCTGTGTGTAAGAAAGGCCTTATCGCGTAATGTTTGCAGAGCAAATATGAGTTCCCCTTCCTTTGCAGATGATATCTTTATCTCTCCATCCTGCGGAACCGTTGCGAGGTAAAAAGTGGTAATGGCTCTGTGAGATCTCGGAATTGCTTCAAGTCTCACGACGATTAATACCTGTTCTTGTTTAAATAGAGCCTAGATAGTTCAGGGACTAAACACTCGATGTAAATTTTACGGTATGCACGCAAGTCGGGTTCGATCCCCGCCGACAACAATGAAATTTTTAATTGCTATTTTAAGTGGTAAACAGTGGTAGTGACACGCGCCAGCTTATGTGCCGACACAAACCAGGGTGGTACCACGACATCACAGAATACCAGCATGAAGTAGAAGCTATGCTTCTGCGTCTCGTCTGGTGAGTGCAGGTGGCCGTTCTCCAAAATAATGAAAACCATCATAAACCGCCAGCTCATGAGCTCCTTGAGAATCACCAACTGATTAGTGACCACCAGTACTGTTTTCGTCAAGGTCGATCAGCTAGTGATCTTCTGGTTTACCTGACTCATATGCCGTTAGTTTGGACATAGCGAAGGCTTTCAATCTGGTTTGGCACAAAGCGCTTCTTTCGAAGCTCCCTTCCTATGGGCTTCCCGACAAATTGTGCAATTGGATCACCAGCTTCCTTGCAGATCGGAGCATTAAGGTCGTAGTAGACGGTGCATGCTCTGATTACAAGCCTTCTAACGCTGGTGTTCCACGATACTGCGTGCTATCACCAACGCTGTTTCTATTGCATATCAATGATATGTTGGAAGCTGGTAACATTCAATGCTATGCAGACGACATCACTGGTGATGCCTTATACATCGGCCGTGCCAATATTTCTCGGGAAAACGTCGCCTAGTACCGGGACAAACTTGTGTCTGAAGTCGAGGATTTGCTGAACAAAGTCTCGGATTGGGGGCGGCTAAATCTAGTCCATTTCAATCCCAAGAAGACACAAGTTTGCGCGTATACCGCTAAAAAGAACCATAATTCTTTTTCTAAAATATAAGTAGCCTAAGTTACTCCTTATAACATCAGCTATCTGCCAGTGAAAGTCCTTTCGAAATCAGTCCAGCCGTTTCAGAGATTAGCCGGAACAAACATTCAGACAGACAGACGGATAAAAAATTTAAATATTGTGTTTTTGTAATAAGTACCGTATAAAATGTCATACGCATTTAGTAAAAAGCTGTTAGAACCGGATCAATCAAAATCCTTAATTTAACTAAGTCATCAGTTTCTTGTTCCATCAATGGCACATCAATCCTGTGATGATCTGCCATTGATGCCATTGCCCAAAGAGGTGTTCATAGAATGAAAAAATGGCAACAACCAGGAAAGAAGGTGAGATTAATATAGCTATATCGTATTTTGTATCAAGTAAAACTTCATATACATAAAGATTTTAAATACAAGAATTTTGAATTTTTATTTTAAAATTCCCTCTATGCTAGTACTATGAGGTAAAACTTGGCAGACCCAATCTAGTTAGTATGTGGACCCAATGTCAAACATGTACAGCAAAAAATCTTAAAGTTTGTGTGAATTTTGCGAAACATAACCATCAAAAAACATGCTGTGTGACTTATTTTATACGACAATTTTGGAAAAAAATTTTAAAAACGTTTTATTCAATGTAATTTTGGCGTAAATATAAGAAATCATTATTATATAATATTTATTATAATATTATATAATTATTGTCTTTCTAGCGAGTTATTACTGTTACTATTTTGTTACTACTGTGTTACTATAACGTTACTAGAGTTACTCACCGCGTATCACTGAGGTCGACGGCGGGGTCGGTGCGGCGGATGTGGCCGAGGCAGGCGAGCACGGCCTTGTCGCAGTCGACGCGCGCCGCCAGCTGCCCCACCAGCGCGGGCAGCTGGCGCAGCGCCGGCTTGTCCACGGCGGTCAGCAGCGACTTGTTGTCGATGAGCCGCCGCTCCACGTCGCAGTGCGAGAGCGACAGCAGCCGCTGGTGTGAAGATGACGCTGGCTCGCTGTGGAGCGTCACCGACGACTGCGGGAAGGACCCAAGTGGTTAGTAGCCTAATCTTCCGCGAATTCTAAAGTTCGTTAGTTCAAACGCGCCATTTGACTATGAGACATAATTTTACGTGGCAGAGCCATGCTGCAGTTATATAGTAGTTGTAACAGAAATGGACAGGCTCAACCAGGGAAGGACCATGCCCTCACAGAATACCAACGTACTCGTAAAAACCGCGAACTCAAAAGGTCCACCATTTGACTATAATGCGATGATGACGCCGGCTCGCTGTGGAGTGTCAACGATGATGGCGGGTAAGCGATCCAGGTGAACATGAGTGACAGTAAACAATGGCGGGGTGTGGGCCGCGAACTCTATAGGTCATGAGTTCAAATGTGCCAATGACAGAGAGCGAGATGAACACAAGCGACAGTGGCCTAATGGAGGACTGCGAACAAAAAAGGCCGTGGATTCAAATCCGCCATTATTACATGTTACAGCTATATTATGGTTGTAGAAGGAATAAGTCGGCTTGAACGGGTTAAGATCATGCTCTCACAGAATACCAGCGTAGAATAGCAGCTCAATGCTGCTGCATTTCGTATGGTATGGAGGATGGAGTGTCGAGAACCGGAACCCTTTTCACTGTAGTCGAAAGTCTACCTCCTGAGCTCTCAAGGGTGACAACGCATTTGTACTTTGATTCTTAATCGAAAAAAATGTAGGTGTCTATGTGCCACAGCATCAACTTACCATCAAGTGGGCTGTGTGCTCACTTGTCACCCTAATTCTATAAAAGAAATCCTATAGTTATCTTTCATGACACCCAAATATCGATATGCGTTTTAGGAATATCTGACGCTCCACAAATGCGATTTTACATATACATATCTTTCTCCTTTATGGCTCGTAAAAGTCCTCTTCTAGGCACAGACCCCTTCCATTGTAGGGAGGTTTTATCTCATCACACTTGGAAGGTAGACAGACATTCGCAGTTCCAAACATTTTTTTTATAGGATAGGGTGACAAGCGAGCACACAGTCCACCTGATGGTAAGTGGTTGCTGTGGCCCATAGACATCTACATCTATCTTCGATTATGAATCAAAATGCAGATGCGTTGTCACCCGTGAGGCTAAGATGGAATGCCTCGTTTCCAGTAAAAAGGGTCTCCGGTTCTCTACACTACCATACGAAACACAACATTAATAAACTGCTATTTGACGCTGGTATTCTGTGAGAGCGTGGTCCTTCCCCGGTCGAGCCGACCCATTCGTGCTACAACCATAATATAGTTGCAGCATGGCTCTACCACGTATAAAACCTTCTCTCATCTTACACTCACATCTCACACCTTTGATGTCGCCAGTCTGTATATTAATAATCTCACGTGAACGAAGTAATTAGATAGATAGTAACCCCTCACGGCACCGATGCAATAAAATATGATGGAAATATGATGATGGATTCTATCACGCTGCCATCACACAGCCCATACGTGTACTTATATATGACATTTGAAAAGCAATCACTTATTCCTTATTATTTAAAAAAAAAGCAAATAAAATATGACTATTGACTTTTAAAACTGAGAAGAGGATTGTGCACAACTGTGGGATGTGTATAAATAAATAAATATAGTTTATTTCAGATTTGATTTACAATCATTAGTACCTGGGTACATTTCAAGCAAATAATGCCTGTAGCAGGTAACTCCGCTCTGCCATATTTTATTTTCGCTTTTCAAAAACACACAAAGTATGAGTTGCAGCGCTAGGCCCGCGAGCTCAAATCCCACACGGACAATAATTGTATGGCCTACAAATAATTGCTACGGGTTTGAATGTTTGACCTTGTGAGATTTATGTTTGTAAACTGCCCCACGATACAGGAGAAAATCCTAGTAAAGGTGTAACGTAATTTAAAAAAAATACCAATTCTTCGAATTTATGCAGTGCCTGCTTGTACACCTCCACGTGCCTCTGCAACTCGTTCTTCATCGCGATGTGTAATGAGATGAGGGAGCCCGAGGGGTCTGCTGTTAGACCATGAGTGCCCAACCCTGGAACAAAGTGACATTGTTAAAGTACAACTATAAGCTGCAGATATGTGACCTCATAATAATACTCTCTCTTTGTAAAACTTAGACTTATCAATAAGCTATCTTTTATAATAGGACCTTCCATCACTTTTATATTGAGATGGGGCGGTAACCAACCGGAGAAAGATCAGACGCAGTACCAATAGGTTTACGTGCTTTCTAAGATACGAACTGTTACTGATAATATCTTGATAAAAAAAACCCAACAACTTTTGTCCCGATACGGGATTCGAACCCAGGTGACAGAACACCAGGTGGGATTATAGTTAAGCGCTGACACATATAAAGCAAAACAAGCTACATCTGCCTCTTAACCTCGCACCGTCACTATGAAGGTCAAAAGCCATAATAATTATCCATAGTAATTTTTCCATAGTCCGTTATCTCATCCGTTTAAAAAGGAAGCTAATATGCATACTTCCTCATTATGTATTAAGTATACTCTCTTTAAACACTATCAACCAAATGATCTTAATCTAACTTCGTGAAAGGAAGTCCTTCCTTAGAGTTGGTAAAGGAATTATTTTTAATGTTATACATTAGTCATCAATATTTATATTTATCAACTTTATTTTACAGTGGTAGAGCCATGCTGCAGCTATGTTATGGTTGTAGCACGAACGGGTCGGCTCGACCGGGGTAGGACCATGCACACAGAATACCAGCGTAAAATAGCAGCTCAATGCTACTGTTACGTATGGTGAGTGCAGAGAACCGAAAAATCCTTTTAGTGTATACGAGTGACAACGTATCTGCATTTTGATTCTTAATCGAGGATAGATGTAGATGTGTATGGGCCGCAGGATCAACTTACCGTCAGGTGGGCTGTGTGCTTGCTTATTCTATAGAAAAGGTGGTTGATTCACGCTGCTGTATATAACTGTAGCATGAATTAGTCAGCTTAACAAGGAAGGACCACGCTCTCCCAAAATACCAGCATGATTCCATTTCAGTGGCAGAATTAGTAGGTGTACAGCCACAAAATTCACTCATCATAAGGTTGACTGTGGTCATCACTCACTAGCAATAAAAGAGTAAGGAATGTGTTGCGAGGGATGTGTGCAAGGGATGTGTTGCGAAGTTAAACAAAACGAACTACGTACAATTTGAAAATTATTTAAAACATTCCTGTTTATAATAATATCTCTTTGTAAAATTGAACTTTGAAACGTTTTTTTTTTCTCACAACAGTCACAGATATAATTATATTTTTAGCCCACTACACATTTTCGCACTGCTCATCTGCGCACCATTTCACAGCGTCGCTACGCATCCTCGCACCGCCTAGCTACCTCGAACATCTCTGGTGGAAACGCAGCCTTAACCTACTCCCGATACTCTACATTCATCTCATTCTCTAGAAGTTTACTTTTCTGAATGTTTTACTTCCTACTGAACACAGATCATGATTTTTATACAATAAGCACACAGTGTACCTGATGATAAGTGAATGCTATGGCTTGAAGACCACTACATATATAACCGATTAAGAATCAAATAAATATGCGTTGTCTTCCTTGAGGACTAAGGTGCAATGACTCGAGCAGTAGAAAGTGTTAGGTTATCTACACTTAACAAAGCGGTATTAAGATGCATGAACGAATGATGATGAATAACATTATATAGACCGTGTAGTGGCGGTGTAAGAATATCTATTACCCCATATCGTCCCGTGGCAAGAGGCGATAGAGGGAAACAAAATAAGTGATTGGCAGTAGCACCCTCGTTATAACTACTATAAAATTAAAATAAAAACAGTGGTAGCCATCCCACCAACTATGGGAAATATTGTCTTTATGAGGCATATATTTAGAAGCAGTCTTTAGTAGATAGTCATGAATATATGGATAAATATTACTATATTTTTTAAGAGATTAATGTATATGCTTACACTGCCACTACATGATAAATGGTACTAAATAGTTAATATTATTAGAAAAAATCATACAAATCAATGATTTCTTATTATTAACATGAAAACATTTTTATAGATTTTATCGCGTTTAATTTTACTTTCATTTTTCATTCACGACATTTCGGGTGTTTTACAGCACGCATGGTCACTAGCGTACGGGTGCTGCAACGTTGTAAATTTAACGTGGTAAAATTAAAAAAAACTGTACAACCGACTTCAATAAGAATTATTAAGGATAACTCAAAAAGTAATAGTCAGAAATAGATCAAATTTATATGGGACTACATGACAAGCACCAGCTTTCAAATAAAAATATCACCAAAATCGAATTACCTAGAAAAAAGTTATGAGGTAGCCCATACAAAGAAATACAGTCGTATTGAGTACCTCCTTGAAGTCGGTTGATAAATAAAATTAAACGCGACAAAATCCGAAAAAAAAATGATTCAACTATACAATTTAATCTTAATTCAAATTCCAAACCAGCAGCAGCAGTCAGATCACTTTCTAATAAATATTTACTTGCTATTGAATTACTTTTTCTTAATAAGAATACTACAAAACTATAAATTAACCTGACATTAATCTCTTTCTAGATAGTCGTCGACATGCTGTTTCTAAACGATTAAATATCCTGTCAAAATGTCTATGTTCTACGTGTAAACCACAACAGACGTTCACTAAACCGGTTTCGCTTTTTAAATTTTGATATTAGATCTTGTCTTAACTAAGATCATTGCTCACGTGGAGAAATTCAGATAAGATCTGAATTTCAGGTCGCGATTAGACCGGTTTTAATTTAGGCAACAGTTCACACTTGAAAACCCGCTTCCCTTAGATATATGTCACGGATATTTAGTACTGGTTGCTTACCAGGAGGACTTCAAGAAATTAGATCATGATAAGTAGATATTGGACGACTCTGGCGTAAAAGAGTTCATCACTCCATTTCATCCCGTGGGTTATAAGAGACTGGGAAATGCAACAAAAATCTTACAGCTTCCAAATATGGCGGTATACCATTGAGTTTAGATCAGATGTAAAATATCCATACGTCTGGTACTGCGTTTGGATTGGAGGTGACGGTTACTTTTAAAAAAGTATTTTCGACACCTAATGAACTTAAAAGTGGTAAAAGTAAAAATTTTGTACAACCGACTTCAATATAAATAAAATGAGAACATTGTCAATACAGTCTAAGTCAATTAAATAAGCATTATTAAGGATAACTCAAAAACTACTGGTCAGATCTTGATAAAATTTTTATGGGACCACATGAGAAACACAGATTCATCAAAATCGGTTCACCTAGAAAAAAGTTCTGACGTAACACTTATTAAAAAAAAACAGTCGAATTGAGAACCTCATCCTTTTTTGAAGTCGGTTGTAAACAGTTTATTAACTCTTGTCCTTGACTAATAGGACACATCTTCTCGTCAGGTATACCTCAAAACTTGGAGACGAGAGTGTACAACCACTGCGTGTTGCCAGTGATGACTTATGGATCTGAGACGTGGTCCTTCACTGCTGGCCGTATAAAGACGCTTAAGTTCGCTCAGCGAGCTATGAAGACAGCTATGCTCGGGGTTTCTCTATGTGATAAACTTAGAAATAAGGATATCCGCAGTAAAACCAGAGTAACCGAAATAGCCCAACGGATTAGTATCTGAAGTGGCATGGGCCGTCATATAGCTCAAAGAACCGACAACCGATGGGGAAAAAAGATTCTCGACTGACAGCCTTGTACCGGTAGGCGAAGTGTAGTGCGACCCGCCACTAGATGGAGTGACGACCTGGTAAGACATGCAGGAAGTTGATGGATGCAGGTGGCTCGGGATCGTGCTTTGTGGCGTTCCTTGCGGAGGCCTATGTTCAGCAGTGGACTTGTTAAGGGCTGTAATGATCATGATAATGAAGACTAACTGCACGAAGTCTTTAAATTAGGGATTTTAAAATTACGCAGAAGGTTAAAACATGTTATTTGGTTGAGTCCTGGACGCGCACTGACTTAAATATATTAAAAACTTCGTAACGATTAAAACACTTGTAAGCAAAAAGATGCGCGGTGTCTTTACATTATATTATCCTTACAGTCTATTAAAGTCCACTGCTGAACATAGGCCTCCCCATAGATTACCTCATAGAGGATATTTTGTCATAGTTGTAATGTTACTGTTGATTTCATAATTTCACCTCTCAGTGGGTCATGTGCACCTGATAGATTATCTTCTATACATCCATCCATTACAGCCTATTAAAGTCCACTGCTGAACATAGACCTCCCCCATAGATTGCCTCATAGAGGATATATTGTCATAGTTGTAATGTTACTGTTAATTTCATAATTTCATCTCTCAGTGGGTCATGTGCACCTGATAGATTATCTTCTATACATCCATCCATTACAGCCTATTAAGGGGCTACTCCATGCGAACGACCTTGAGCATTTGGTGTGCCGCGCCGACTCGCTACAATATAATATCACGTAAGAAATATGTAAGGCGCCACCTACTGTAAGAACGTAGTATTTTTTCACCATCAATAAACTATTTTATGGAAATACACACAGCGTACAACGATAAATGTATCTCAAATTTTTTATTCGGTATATTAGTTGCATTATATTAGAGTTATGTATTCTCATATAATATTATCTAATTATGAAATTTCATAATTAATTATATATTAAAAATGAAGCATTGAAAATTGTGAGTTTAAAAGATATCTACTCACTATAGGTAAATAGATAGATAGCTCGCCTTTTGTACAAATATTTGGTGCAATAAAGAATAAATAAATAAATAGGATGTTTCGCAGAGTGAGAGTAATATAAAATGAGAGTCGTGGAGGCAGTTTACAAACATAAATTGCACAAGGACAAACATCCAGACCCGGAACAATTATTTGTAGGCCATACAAATACTTGTTCCGTGCGGGATTCGAACCCGCGGCCCCCAGTGCAGCAACTGATTGCTAAGCCAGTGCGCCACGGAGCCGTCGCCGGTTTATAGCTAAAGTGACCATACGTCCCGTTTTGAACGGGACTGTCCTTTTTCTCAGTCACCTGTCCCATTGTCCCCAAACAAAGCTCCGGGACACAAAATTGTCCCGTAACTCGTTGGATGGAAGTATTCAAAGTCAACAATCTTCAACATAATTTTTTTTAATCGAATATATTTTATGTCTCCCTGGTACAAATGCTCCAGTAGAAAGAATATTTTTTTTATTTTGAACAAATTGTGGACGTCTGAAAGAAACACTTACGGTTCCAGTTCTAAAGGCGATGTTGTTAACAAAGGTAACAATAAGAAAACTTAAGCAGAATTTTATTCTTATTTAAAATTATCACCAACTTTATTAAAACAAATTTAATCCACTGACAAATGTAATTAATAATTAAAAAAAATATGTTGCATTTAATAATTACCGTCTATACCGAATATAATTTTATATTGAACACTAATTGTGTAAAGTTATAGTTTTTAGAGTTTAAATAAACCCATGTCCTGTTTTGAGTTAAAAAATAAATGGTCACTTTAGTTTTTTTTAGTTAGATTCAGTTTAAAAAAATTTTAGTTTATAGTAAAAAGTAGGTATATTAATACCTACTTAGATACTTTTTACCGAATTAGGGTAGAAGGCCCTAATACCAGTCATGCCCCTAATTGAAGTCTTTTCGCCTTTTTACTCCATAAATAAGATTTCTAGTAGTCTTAACTACAAATATTTTCATCTAAAAAATTCTTTGTACCTAGAGGAAACTATATTTATTCAAATATTGTGTTAAAATCAAAACAGGTACGCAACGAAAAACGATCATTTTCCTAATTATTTGACAAGTTATGATCCCGGTAAAATTATGCTTACTTTACATTATCTCATATATAGGCTTTTTGATTTGTATGAATATGACTATAGACATAGTAATGCAGTTATTTTTGTTTGAATTTACAACTTCTTTATTTTCTTTTAGTGGAAATTAATGGGACTGTAATTAGATAATATAAGAAATGTATGGAGTGCATAATGTCAGCCGCCCGGCTGTTATTTGGTTTGACGTACCTAATAAGATGTACCTAATTTCAGCCACGTAATATAAATCAGAGCTGCCATAAACTGGAATAAATACCATTAATTAGATCATAACTTATTTTATAGCTAAGGGAGTTATGATCAATTCGTCTGTTTTAAAATTGGTTTTAGATTTGAAAGTTTAGCAAAAGATGTACTAGCTTTTCTCTCTGACATTCGGCGTATAGAACATCTTATGTACTCAATTTTTTTTTTTTTTTTGAAAAAGAAGAAAAAACAAGCAATAAATAAAAACAAAAACGGGCCAAAAACTCATAACTGACTTTTTGACAAGACCCGGGATTCGAAACCGAGACCTCATGATCAGCACTCGCACTACTACAACCACTAGACCAACGAGGCGGTACTATACCTAATAAGATATTGTGGTTGGGTGATAATATTGAATTAGCCTTTTATAGTGTAAATTATAATATTTGTCGAAATTTTAATTATGGATTCGAACCTTACATGCTAATGGTGCTTCATTTTTTTATTTGCATTTACTTCAAAGAAAATACACGCAAAAAGCTTCATCGCGCAGTAAAAAACCCAACAAATATATGTATAACTAATACGAAAAATTATACCCAAAACAAACAAATAATACTACCTATAAATAACCTAATAAGTAATATTATTATCGACTAATATGACGTGAGTGTATGTGCTGGTCGACGCTCTAACGACACGGGCTTCGCGTCGAAGAGCTCAGGGCTCAATGACTCCAGCAAGCCCGTGAGCAGTGAATATGCCCAGATTTTAAAATAAATTCTTAATAAAATCAAATTTTGGTCTTTAGAAAAAAAATTTACTATAGAAATGTTCATTAATAAATTGCCTATCCATTGGTGTAAATCGCAAAATAAAATAATACTTACTTTACGCGGAGATGCATGTTATCAATAATAATTTCACATTTATGTGGTTTCGTTGCAAGGAGATTATATTAATATTTATTCGTTTAAAAAAAAATTGGATATAGCTTTTATGGAATAAAGATTATGTAGAAATATAATGTGTTTTTTATTTATTGATATATGTTTTAAATAAAAAGTAGATAGCTCCTAAAAACCACACAAATAACGACTAGCGCGACATTTTGCTCAACCTGCGCCTTAAAGTCCACTGCTGAAGATAGGCCTCCCCCATAGATTGTCTCATAGGGGGTGTATTTGCCATAGTTGTGCCGCTTTTAGTTGGCGACAGCAGTTTTTGGAAGTTCCTTATCAGACAGTACTGGTTTGGCGGATGGGAGCTAGGCAACAAAAAGTGTAAGATTTTTTCGTCACTACCCCTTGTGTCATAGTGTAGACCGCCTTGGTAGCGAAATAAGCAAGTGAAATGGAATAATATCCATCTCCCTCACACTTTTTCTTATCTTGCCATGAAAGAAATATTATTTTATTTCAAATGACGCTTCATTTTAATAGACGCTAGGAATTCATTTATTTATATTTGTTAATCAATAATATAATACCTACGTTTATCAATAATAATATACTACGCAAGGAACTTCGTTCCAACCGAGTGTTCCACGACAATCACCCATTTTTTTTATTTTTAGACGTTATTAGAAGACACTGCTGAGCATCTTCTGATTTGTTTCGTATTATCGCCTCTTAACACGGATGATATGGGGTAGTGGATTTTCTTACACCGCATCTACACAGCACTTACATCATATAATCAATGGAAATATACTGTAATAATCAATGTATCCATATCAAAATCGGATATCCTACCTACAACAAGAGAGGCTTACTCCAGGACTTCTACTTCCACTGCAAGAAGCAGAAGGAAGTGGATATAAGCATTTTTTAAATAAGTTAACAGGCATGCAAGCTCGATAAGTTGCACATAAATAACTATAAATAAAAATATCGGTGGGTATTTGATGGGTGATTGACCGTGTAAGATAATTAAAATATCCACTACCAAATATCGTTCCGTAGGTGTCGTAAAAGGCGAAAGATGGAATTAAAACAGGATCATCTCCCTGATCTGCCAAACGTGGTGAATATCCACACTATGAGGCCATCTATAGGGGAAGTCTATATCAAGGAGGATATAGTCAAGTAGCCTTTGATATAAAATAATGAGAATAAAAGTATCGTTTTTCGTTTCACTCCTTGCTCAATTTTTACATTGAGATGAAATCCAGAAAGCTATTACCTCTTACCACCTCCAAACTTTAATTCTAGACTCACATATGTTTCGGCTGTGGATCTACCCCAGTTAGTCAATCGTTGGTTAACCGCTTGTGCACCGTAGTCTGAACTTTTCACTACCTTTAAAAATCTAGCTATATTATGGTTGTGGCACGAATGAGTCGGCTCGACCGGGGTAGGACCACGCTCTCACAGAATACCAGCGTGAAATAGCAGCTTAATGCTGCTGTACTTCGTATGGTGAGTGTAGAGAATCGTAGTCCTCAGGGGTGACAGCGCATCTGCATTTCGATTCTTAATTGAGGATAAATGTAGGTATCTATGTGTTACAGCATTCGCTTACTATCAGGTGGATTGTGTGCTTGTTTGTCACCTTTATTCTACAAGAAAAAGATCTACAAATAAACTAACCTTGTACAGCAGAATCCAGCTGTCTCCTTCGAGCATCCACCGCGTCCCTCGCATCAGGCATGTATTGGAACAACGCGGTCGCTAGCCGGGCTGTCCTCGCCCGCAGACCGGTACCCTGGTCTCCGCCGAGAAGACCGACCAGTCGCCACGCGATTGCCTCGCATTGCAAGTCCGGGCGGGGAGTGATTTCTAATGAAACTAACCTGCAAAGAATTAGAAAAGTTTATGCACAGATTTTTAAAATTGTACATATACTAGTACTTTAATTAATTAATTGCAAAAACACTAGTTGTAAATTATATGTAGTAGAGTCACTCTGCATCTATACAAACATAATAATGTTTGTACCACGAATGGGGTCAGCTCGACATAACATAATAATGTTTGTACCACGAATGGGGTCAGCTCGACACAAAACAAATCAGGATAGAGTCAGCAGCATCTACCTGATAACAGCTTTAAAATTAAAATAAATTGCGATTGCCACCACGGCTGCCATTGCAACTATAGCAAGTAGCCCCCTTAAGAAAGCAATGTGTAGGGAGGCATACGGTCAGCGGTGGACTTTGATTGCATGTATTCTTATAATCTATATTGAAGAAAAATATTTTATATTATGGGCCTCGCGCCCTCAATAAATCCGGACAAGTACGACTTACTTGTGTCCTAAAGGGCTGCTTAACACGTTCACCGCGGCACTGATTTATCTATACTTTCCATTACTGCACTTCGGGGCGTTTTGAACCTAGTCCTAAACCAGACACTGTGGCGGCACTGGGCTTGTTAAACCCCGCCGATCTTAGGAGACTAAAATCATTTTTTGACGTGAAGTAAAAAAAACATGGACTTTTTAGTCTGAGAGCTGACGACGAATTTTGGGAAGGTCCTTTGGGCAAGTTGATATTGTGAAAAAATATAATTTCGTCAATTGGCGAATCCAGTCCTGCGAGTCTGGCAGAGCGTTTGCGGTTTTTTCGTTACTGCGCAGTATATATCATTTGCAAAAAAAAATTTCCAAAAAAATGTTCTTTTGGCAACTTGATTTCTTTTTTATCTTTTAATTTAGTTTTTATATAATTCAAAAAAAATAATCCCAGACTTTTTTGTCGGTTATAAAGTATTACCAGACCTCGCCAAAAATATTTTTTTTAAATTCCCAAAAAATATACTTTTGGCAATCTCAAATTTTAATCACGTATTTATTGAGTAATTTTTAATAATACCTGCAGATCGCCAGACAAATTTAGCGGGTTTAAACAACTCCCAGACGTGAATAAAGTTTACAAATGAATACGACAAAATAGTCTTATGCGTAGCCATGAGTGCAAGATAGCTTATCAAAGCATGCCGACAGCGGATTGGGGCCTAAGCTCCTTGCGCTGTGATTGGTTACAATATCAATATATATATATATATATATATATATATATATATATATATATATATATATATATATATATATATATATATATATATAGAAGTATTTATAAGTTGTAAATCTATGCCATGTATTTAAGAGTTTCCATTGCACCGATGCACCGATGATATCCCGTATGTCAGTCTGAGCGAGATTAGAATGGCTCTCCAGCACCTTAAAACGGCAAGTCCCCGAGCGAGGATAGAATCACAGCGGACATTCGTGAATTTAAGATGAACATGGACAAAACAAAGATCATGTATAACGTCCATGTCACACCTGTGCCGGTAGTTGTAGGGAGCACTAAGCACGAAGTTGTTGACGAGTATGACTGGAACAAATAGTCCGACTAGGTAAGTCCAACTTCGACCGAGAGGTCAATCGACGGATTCAGCTCGGCTGAGCAACGTTCGGGAAATTACGACATATCGTCTCGTCAGGTATACCTCAAAACTTGAAGATGAGACTGTACAACCAGTGCGTGTTGCCAATGATTACTTATGGAACTGAGACGTGGTCCTTCACTGCTGGCCGGATGAGGAAGCTCAAGGTCGCTCAGCGAGCTATGGAGAGGGCTATACTAAGGGGTTTGTTAGCGTAATAAACTTAGAAATGAGGATATCCGCAGTAGAACCAGAGTGACCGACATAGCCCAGCAGATTAGTAAGCTGAAGTGGCAATGGGCCGGCCATTTAGCTCGAAGAACCGACAACCGATGGGAAAAAAAGTTCGCGAGTGGTAGTCTCATACCGGTAGGTGAAGTGTAGGGCAACACCCCACTAGAGTGTAGGCGTGACGACCTGGTAAGACATGCAGGAAGTCGATGGCTACAGGTGGCTCAGGACCGTGTTTTGTGGCATTCCTTGGGGGGGGGGGACTATGTTCAGCAGTGGACTTATAAAGGGCTGTAATGATGGTCAGTATGAAGCGGAAGAGAGAAATAAAACAGTAGTAAAAGTAAAGAAGTTTCATTAGATTAGGAAAACGGTACCTAAAGACCTACGTGTGCGGTTTGACTCTAAATTAACATTTCGTGAGCACTATGCGTACATTAAAAACAAAGCATTCCAGTTACTAGGTTTCATAACGAGATACACTAAGGGCTTCAAAATGTCTCAGAGCTTCCTGATCGTTTATTATGGTCTTGTCCGTAGCATTCATTTTCTACGTGGTAGAGCCATGCTGCAGCTATATTAGTAGTATAGTTGTAGCACGAATGAGTCGGCTCGACCGGAGAAGGACCACGCTCTCACAGAATACCAGCGTAAAATAGCAGCTTAACACTGCTATGTTTCGTATGGTGAGTGTAGAGAACAGGAGACCTTTTTTACTGGAAAAGAGGCATTCCATCTTAGTCCTCACGGGTGACAATGCATCTGCATTTTGATTCGCAAACGAGGATAAATGTAGATGTCTATGGGCTACAGCAACCACTTACTATCAGGTGGACTGTATGCTCGTTCGTCACCCTATCCTATAAAAAAAATCTTGAATATGCTTGTGCCATTTGGTCTCCCTGCTACACGGTCCATTTAGATAGTATAGAAAGCGTCCAAAAAGAACTCTTAGAATAGCTTAGCTACAAATGTGGTTTTGCTCGTAATCTAGTTAGTTATAGTGAATTAATCGACAAATTTAAAGTGACTTCCTTACTTATTCGCCGTAAGGAATATGACCTTATATATTTACATAAAATTCTCCATGATAAGGTTGTTTCTGATCACCTCTGAAGTAAATTAAACTTAACTACAAAGCGCAATCCCCGAATTCCTAGCAAGACACTTTACCTGCAGACTTATAAGAATAATACTTCCTTTTATAACCCGATAATAAGGATCCATGAAAAACTCCGGCTTGGATCTTTTTGACCCAAGATCCAGGATATTCAAAAGAGCAGTAAAACAGTTTACACTTACGCACACTCATTCTCATATTACATAGGTTTTAAATTTGTTATTTGTATATTTTAATTTTTTGTATAATGTATTTATGTACTTATGTCATAAACATAGCAAAGCGTAGAGTTGATCTTCTGTACTTAATAAAAATGATGTGTCAACATATTTAGGATAACAATCTGGCACAAAACAATATATATCTTTATATATAAAAATTACGTGTCACGTTGTTTGTCTGCGATGTACTCCTAAGCTACGGAACTGATTTCAATGAAATTTTGCACACTGTGTGCATTTTGGTCCAACTTGAGAGACAGGATAGTTTTTATCCCGATAAATGACCATCAAAATTTTTTATTGCGAATTTAAGGATTTTTATAGGAAGGGTCGTTGGAAAGGGCAGAACAACGTCTGCCTGGCGAGCTAGTATATAATATATATATTGTTATCTGTTTTGCTGTCCATAGAATAAATAAATAAGTCGATGGGCATCAGCATCTTTGCCAGCCCACCTGCCAAGCATAGCAAATAGGCTGTAATGAATGAATGGATGGAGTAGAAGGACTGGTCACGCCATTTCGTTCCGTGGGAACGGTCGTAAGAGGCGACTGTGTGAAATGCCAGAAAGGTATATTTCTGCCCGATTTTGCAATAACCGGCCAAATCTGCAGAGAAGGCTCAGAATAAGTAATATAATAATTATAATAAGTATACTATATTCTGGCTTTTTTATCTTTTAAATTCAACATGCGTGGTAATGTATTATTTTAACTGATTTTACTGCGCACGCACGCATTCGTAAGGGTCTATCGGTTTATACATATATATTTGCTACTTTACAATTTGTAATTTATTCAGAGTTGTGGCCGCATAATCAATCCACCAAATGTACAGTCGTTCAACAGGTGCAGAACTTGGCACGCAAGTATTATATTTTAGGAAGAGTTTTTCAATGTCAGTGTGTAAGTATGACTTTTATCTATCTTCCGGTGCGAATTTCACATAATAATTTTTTCATTGGTTGTTTTGTTTAACATTGACAAATACACAGAAACAGTTTCTCAGCTCGTTTACGCCAGACACAAAACAGCCAGATTGGGGACGGTGCATTGCGTTAAAGATTTGCAAACGTCCTTTTTATACAATAATGGTGACACACGATTGCACAGTCCACCTGATGGTAAGTGAATGATGTGACCCATAGACATCTACTCTAGATACGTCTATCCTCCATTAAGAATCAAAATCTGCATTTTTGTGTTGTCACCCCTGAGAACTAGGATGGAATGCCTCATTTCCAGTAACAAGGGTCTCCGGTTCTCTACACTCACCATACGGAACACAGCAGCATTAAGCTGCTATTTTACGCTGTTATTCTATAGGAACGTGGTCCTTCTCCGGCCGAGCCAACACGTAAAACATCTAAAGACAGCATTTTTATTTTACGTGAATCTTAGCTAAATTATTTTAACATCTTTAATTAATTGCTTATCCTTGAGTATAAAAAGGCATTTTTTTAACTAAGTTGAGGTCTCTAAGGACTAAGTTGTTGTTATCAGGAACATGCTGCAACCTATCTTCTATTTACACGCATAACACTCACTCACACACACTCACACACGCGCACACAAGTACACACAAGTACACACACACACACACACACACATTTGCTTTTCGTATATTTATTGTTTGTCATACACCTAACATTACCTAGATTATAGATTCGTCTGTAGGTGGGGGCTGGTGATCTGTCATACAGGGAATCCTAGTACGGAGACCAGTCTCTCACAAATTGATTGTAGTATATTATTATTAAGTCATATGTTTATGTTAATTATTAAATTTGTGAGAGAAAAGAATAAACTTTATTATTATTATTATTATTATT